GAAGAGAAGAAACGACCTCTCTGCCAATAAACGTGGGGGGAGCCTTTTTGTGTCAACCATCAAGTCCATCAAGTCAAAAACATCTCCCCCAAGACTAGGCAACAAAAATATCTCAAATAGATTAAATCCCGGCCATCAATCCCATCCAATGGTCCATAATAAAACTGAAAAAAATGGAGTTAAAAGAACCATATTCTCACATTCTTCACCTTGGTTCTCATAACACTCTCTCTTGGTTGCAAATTTGCACATGGAAGAACTGTTCATCATCATCGCCCACTACCTGCAAGAAAAATTAACCAGTGTCAATATGTAATAAAAGTAAGTACAATTTAAATTTATCTGCAGATAGAATTTTTGTTCCCACATCAGAGGGATTCCTTTCAGTGTGAATTTTAACAAGATTAACTTCACCTTGAGACAGTTTCTCACGAATAAAATGATACTTCACCTCAATATGTTTAGTTCTTTCATGATAAATAGGATTCCTACAAAGCGACAAAGCACTTTGACTATCTGTAAACATAACAGGTGTATCATGCATGAAGTTCAATTCTTTTAAAATTCCTTTTAACCAGGTACATTCCTTTACCGCCTTGGTTATGGCAACATACTCTGCCTCAGTACTTGACAAAGTAACTAAAGGCTGCAGCTGTGACTTCCATGTTATACAATTATCACCAAGTGTAAAAAAGTAAGCTGTGGTAGACTTTCTGCTATCCTTGTCACCAACAAAATCAGAATCTACATACCCCTTTAGAGTAAGTTTTTCAGATCTTTTTTCATACACTAGACCCAGATTTAATGTACCAACAATGTACCTTAACAACCATTTCAAACCTGCCCAATGGGGCTTTCCAGGGGTGGACGTAAATCTGCTCAAAAAACTTATAGCATAGGCTAAATCAGGCCTGATTGTTATCATAGAGAACATAACGGAACCTATAACATTAGAATAGGGTATGTTCCTCATTTCTCTAAATTCCTCCTCAGTTTTAGGAGAATGTGCACTAGAAAGATTCATGTGAGTTGTTAAGGGAACGTTCACAGATTGTGATCCATTCATTCCAAATTTAGTTATGACTTTGTTTAGATAGGCTTCTTGGGAAATGATTAGTCTATTTTCAGCCCTATCTCTCTTTGTAACCATCCCCAAAATCTTCTTAGCACTCCCCAAATCTTTCATATCGAATTCTGATTTTAAAAAGTTTTTCATTTTAGTGATTTCAGTCTTACTTGAACTTTCTAGAAGCATGTCATCTACATACAGCAACAAGTAGACCTCACAGCCCTCCTTACTATCATTATAGTACAGGCTTGCATCATATTCACTCTTTTTAAAATCTATCTTCAGTACATAGGTATCGAACCTTATGTACCACTGTCTAGGGCTTTGTTTAAGCCCATACAGAGATCTTTCTAATTTGCACACACAGTTTATTTTACCTTTCACCTCAAAACCTTGAGACTGACTCATATAAATATCCTCTTCCAATTCCCCATGTAGGAAAGCAGTCTTGACATCTAGTTGTTCCAGTTCCCAGTTGAACTGAACAACCAATGCCAAAAACAGTCTGATTGTTTTGCACTTTATCACAGGAGAGAATATCTCATTGTAATCAACCCCCTCTTTTTGAGTGAACCCTTTCGCCACTAATCTGGCCTTATACCTAGGGGGATCACTAGGATTATTTCCTTCTTTCAATTTGTAAATCCACTTACATTGAACTATCCTATGATCCTTAGGTTTG